GATGGTATGATGGCATGTTTTACTTGTAACTTACAAGAAGAGGTTACAAAGTATGCGTTGGAAACATAAAACCTGTAAATTTTGCTTTCTATGAGTCACAATCAGCGATTTGCTGATCGCTGAGTGAGTGAGTGAGTTTGTGAAAAATCGCTGATTGTGACTCTCATGAAGTGAAATAAACAGGTTTAATACGTCAAACACATTCTTTGCAACCTCTTCTTGTATCCTACCAATTCAAAATTTGATCATGGCATCTAATTATTTCATAATTTAGAAAAACATTGTTTTAGCTGAAATGAGTCTTTGCAACCTTGATTCTAGCAATGAATTTTGTGCGATTTATTTTCTTTCGCAACATATGGAAGTTGTAAGTAAATTTATTCAAAAAAATTGCCTTCCCTTTCGACGACTGTAGTTAGACGCTTCCGGAAACTGCAGTATGCACGTTTTAAAATGTTTCGATTCATAGATGTCATCACTGCCTTGATTTTAGCTTTTAGCGACTTAAGTGTGGTGTGAGGGGTTCTATTGGTATCCCGTTGGACGACGCCCTATACAAAAATAATGCATAATCGGGACTGCTTGGAGCCCAAATTTCTTCCTCCCAAATTTACGAAATATATTCCGTAAGCCATTTCTGTGCTTTATTAGCAGTATGAGCACTTTCCCAAGCCTTTTTTAATATTATACACTGTTCTTTCAGACACATTTACCGACCGAATTATTTCTTTCATGCATACTCCGGCGCGCAACAAAGCGACAACGGCTGACAGATTGCTCTCTTGTTTCGACATCTTTACGTTTACTCAACATTGTTTGTTTAAATCTTACACCTAACAGTATAAGCTATCCAGTGCTGCCAAATATATCTAAATCATGATGCACAAGCATGAGAAATTACTATTTGAAATTTACTGCAAAAATTTGTCACGCACCCTGTATATGTCTATTGGGTAGCCCTTGATATTGTTTCTACTAACGTAGCAATAACCAGATTTTATAGAATTACAATTAAAATAAATTAATTTTAAATTTGCTATCCTCTACCTCACCGTACAAAATTTTGAAATCATCATCACATTTTTAGTTCTTCTATTCTCCACGAGGGCCAACTTTGATTTGCCAATAGAAAGTGGCTAAAACTATAATAACTACAATCTCCCCCGCTAATCCGGCTCTCGTTATTCCGACGACTCGATAATCCGACATCACGGTCGTGTACTCCCTGCCCAGCACTACTGAGACTCTCCTCTACACTGCCTCAGGGTTGGCATACATGTGTGAATAGCGCGGCCAAGAAAACATTAAAATACCGATTGGGCACATAAAAACGAATTCCCACTTTATTCGACTTTCTCGCAGGTACCTTGTAATTCTAGCGTTCAGAATCATAGGGGCCTAACTGTAATGATTGATTCTCTTCGTCGATTTTCTCTTTTATTAGTATGTAAGTTGCTTTTAACATCTAATGATTTCATAATTCCGAAACACATTTTTTATAGCAAGAGAGGAATCAACCCTGTCCACGACAAGTGAAGCTAAAAGCATACTACCAAACAACTAATGAACAACAACTTGTCGACACCAACTGACAGTCAGGATCAGAAGGGCTACCGGAATAGTGAAAAGACGAAATAGTATATCCGATATACAAAGTTGCCACTATTCTCAACGCGGTCTACAACGTGCTTTCTCAGATCATCTTCCTTCATCTATCGCCGATAAGGCCCACGCACATTAGATCCGGATCGGACGCGTTGCGGCAAAGTGACAGCTAAATCTATTGTCTAACTGTCAAATTTACGTCAACGCAACGCAAACGGATCTAATGTGGGTGGCCCTTTAGCAATCAGTATTATGGGTAGTTATCAAGCCAATTGAACGCTCGACAATAGACTAAATATTGATGGCGCCGACTGTGTGTGTTTGGATTCAATCCCAGCCTAGGTCGTTGAGATTTTACTGAGGGCAAAAAAATCTCTGGTCACGAAGGAAAGTAAAGTTGTGGTCCCGGCTCATGTGTTGATGGGTTCGATCGATTCCAGATGTGGAAGTCGTCTCCCTGGCACTCAATTGCCATCGGTGATAAACCACCAATTAGCAATCGACGCTCGTTGATGATTGGCACACGATTCCGTAACAGAGACCGACAATTGATCAGTCCACGAAGATTTGCCGCACTCTTCTCTCACCCGTAAATTTCGACACTTTTGGGTGGTTTATTTTGGCTCCCATTCGTTGCCATCTCTTTTGCTCAGAGGCACACTGATAGGGGGCAAAAAAAAAGCTTAGGGACCGCTATAAAGGATAAAAACCCAGACCAAATTTACACGTTGTGGCAGATCCTCTAAAAGTGTCATGAATATCAAGTCCCTACGCACCCACCTATCGATTTCAAGGCCGCTATGGAAGATTATGGACGAAAATAATTTGCCCGGGAAACTGACCAGACTGATGAAGGCTACGATGGATGGTGCACAGTGTTGTGCATTATTTTACTTGATACACGCAAGGAACTGCGACAAAGTGATAGTCTTTCATGCCTACTGTTGGACATAGCGCCAGAAAGTCAACATACGTGCTTTAGACCAGCTATGGTAAATTTTGAACGAATATGGATTTCGGATAAACTGGCGCGATTGGTCAAGGCGACGATGCATCGTGTGATGAGCGTTGCCGGAGTTTCAAGGACACTCGAATTTCTTATAATCTCGAAGAGGGTTACGGTAAGGTAATTTGAGCTTTCGTGTCTGCTATGTGGTCAGAAGAGCACAGAGGCATGGAACTTTGAGACGATGACGGAATGGCTGAAGCGAATCGGATTGGATTTGTCATCAACGCGTCGAAGACCGAAATACATGAAGTGAAGAGGCTCAAGAGAATATAATGTTAGCCTCCCACTACGAGTTCAGATTGGTGGTGATGCGATCTTCAATAAATTCTGTGCTCGTGGAAGTCCAACGCGTCCTTGGTGATTTCGAAACGATGGTTTTGCGCACCATCCACGGCGGAGCGCACTGAGGAGGTGAATGAACCAGCTCCTCGTAGAACCACCCATCGTCCACATCGTAAAAAATCTGGCGACTACGGTGGACTAGCACGTAGTACGAATGTCGGAAGAAAATCCAATGAAAAGAGTTTTCGAAAAAGTTTCGACCGGACCGGACGAAGAGATGAGCAGCGGGCAAGGTGAATCGACCAGGTGGAAGCTGACCTGTAGAGCCTCCGCAGTCAGCGGGGCTGGTGACATGCATCTATGGAGTGGACGGGTACGGACTCTACAAATTCTTAAGGTCTGTTCTAAATTAAAACACTGATATCGATAGTTCTCTAAGGACACGATCCGTCAACGACATGTTTTCCAATCTAGTTTATTCTGTAATGCAAATTACAAATAACCAAATGCTGCCAATTGAGGACCATACTCTATTATGTTGTACCTAGCTAGCACAAACAAAACTAACTAATTGCACAAATCAAACGTTCGTGGTAGAGCGATTTTTCCCCGCCTAAGCAAAAGACTGAACAAATAGGTCATAACGACTCATTAGAAACTCAGCGAAAAAAATAATTTCGCTAGATACATAGAGGAAAAGAACTGCACTGATGAAAATGGAGATGGGATCAGATTTAAATTTAATTTATTCCATCGGATATAGGGGTATGTGCCAGTGACCGTGTGGGCCGTTTTAAGTGTCGGTTTAATTGTACAAAGAGGATATTTTATTTTTTGCTTGTGTGTTTTTGCTGAATTTTTCCCAGCCTTCTTCATATACAACGCGGGGTTGTTCTCGGTGGGTGTGCCGATGCCAGGATTTGCCCGATTTTTTTTACGCGACTCGTTGGTTTGCTTCTGGTACAATTTGTTTTATTTCCTCGATTCCGACATCGAATTTCAATCATCATTATCTGCGCTGGTATCCCGTATTTATTATTGAATCAATATCATTCGACCTACTAACTGCTGGAAGAGAGATTTACATATTCAGATGGGTGGTTGAAAATTGCTCCATCGAAGCCAACCGCAAGGCTGGATTACGGATGTGCACTTTCATTACTGGAATTTCCTAGTGGCGTTGTTTTCTGACAAATCAAACATGGATGCTGTAGTTTAATTAAAAATATTAAACAGCAAACATAGATTGTTTGTTTATCGTAACTAAAACAATATTCAGTGTGTCATTGCATAATGAACACATACCTAGGTACGTATGTGATAGTGGCATAGACTCATTACCTGTGGATAATCCTGTGGATGTCCTGTGCGATTAATTTGCAAACGTTGGAGAGGAGAGTAATTAATGCAAAAGAGCAAAAAGTTGAGACGAACTCTTAGGGTGGACTTTGTTGGAAACTATCACAACATATTAGCAAATTGCTGAAGGACGAGAATGGCTTCCTAGTAACCTAGAAACAAAATTTAAACACAACACCAAATAGGCTCAACTAAAACTTATCCTAGGTATTTTGTTTTCTTTTACATGTTCGAAGGAAAAACAGACAACTTTGCTTCTTGATATAATTACAAATTATACTAGGTTTAATGGATTCTAAGGTGAAAATATATAAATTAACAGAAAACGAACATGTGTACAAGTATACATGGATGCACGTGAAAACGTACCGTTAATCAATGATGACGTCTGTTGTATGATATGAAGGATGTGTGTATAGAAAATTAGTTTAAATTTTTGTTTTGATTTTCAGAGGATACAATCTCTAGCAAATAGTCGCACTATCATCACTGTCGAGAACGAATTAGTTAGAGTTGATCAGTTTTAGTAATATTATCACACGCGCTCATGACTGCACAACGCAAACATTCCTAATGTCCAACACACATACACACATACACAAACAATTGAGATTCACTTGCGCAATCGCATCTATCGCACACTTAAAATGGAGCAACCACAGTCGGTGTGAGTACTAGTAGAATTCGGTGAGAGTTGAAAAACTAAAGGTGAATTAATTTTTCAAACAAGACAGCGCTAACTAACTTTTTGCGAGGGCCTTCTTCTTCCTTTGTACTAGGATGTCGTGAAACGGGTTGTGACTGATGGACTGGTTGAGACACTTGATCCATTCCTGCTGTTCCTCCTCGCTGGCGGCCGACATGCGATAGACCGTATGCTTACCCTCGACCACCTTACCCTCGGAATCGGTTTTGCATGCTTTGATGATTTCCGCTCCACCACTAGCGTGCAGCTCGAAGCAGAACTGCTTGCTGCGGTCCTGCACTTCGCGTACCTGTATGAAAAATGCATTGTAATGGTAAACCTATCGTAATTCATCTTTCGAAACTTACCGCAATGTTCTCCAGTGGGATAATTCCTCTGGGTTCCTTATCGGTTGTATATTCAAAGTAGTACAAGCAGTTATCGTTCAGAATGAACCACCTTCGTTTCCATGATTTGTATCTGAGGGCAACAATCAACAATGAAAGATTAACCATCTTCTCACGAATTAGAGGGATTGAAAATACATACCGTCCACCTTGTTTCCACAGCCAGCCTTCCTTGTCTGGATTGAAGAAAGTGTGCATCAGGTCGTTGCCATCGTCCTGGGGTATCTTGAACGGCTCTGTTCGGATGGATTCGTACAGAGACTGAAATAAATGTACAAATGTGATAACTTTATGAACAATTGATCGACTTTGGTTAGATAATCACTATTCCCGTTTTCGATCGAAACGGGTTTTCCATACATTTCTTTTTGTATGGAAAATCCGTTTTGAGCGAAAACGGGAATATTTCCATTAGCTGATTATAAATTGAATCAATACTCAGTCCACCAAATTATTAATCAAGCTGAAAGTGATTATGCACACACATTCTCTTGGCAGTTTTAGCCTCCGATCCCATAACCCATAACCAATCTCACTTATCCTTCGAAACAGCAATTCGTTAATTAAACTGTCTATACTAATCTTATTACTCAGTGGCACGCTTACCTCCAGCAATTCTCTCGGTAAATCTCCTCCATTGTTGATGCCTCTATTCATCGATATAAATTGCTCAACGGTTGGTTTCTCTTTCACCTGTAATATAGAAAACACTTGTTGTAGGACTCGATAATAAACAACTGTATGCTCAACTCATCATGTGCAATGAACAGTGAAGGCCGGTTACAGACATGAATTGAGATAGGTAATCCCTCCCAAATCCTAGTACTGTGAAAGCAGATGGCTCAATGTTATGCTAATGATTAAGTTCATATGTATTTGTGACAGGATATACATTTTGATATAATGTGTTCCTCCAAGTTTGGTGTAGATACGTTGACAGGCGACTACCCATGAAAACGTATCAATTAATTTCAATTGCATTGCACATTCATGCATTATTATTCGTGGGTTTCTTTGATTACGCACTATAGGGGAAAATGGGGCAAGATGGCAAGATTAACACACGATCATTCACGCTTCATTGTGTCGGATAAATATGAAAAAAATGTCTCCGTAGCATCTGTTATGGCAGGTGGAAAACGAATATAGCTAAAACTCTCGCTGCACTCGCTGCAGCCCACCTGACCGTTCATACCATAGTTTGTCTGACGAAGTGGCAATCTCAGCATAACGCATGGCGTTGGACGTAATGTTAACTTGCTCCTAGAACAATTCTGTCCTGTAAAGTGTCCTGATGAAGTGTCTCTACAAGTTCGAACTCCAGATCGATCAACTGGCAAAGATATGATGGTCGTACATGGGTATATGCGTGTATGAAAGACCAACGGGTGAAGAAAACGGTGTTGAACGCACTGAACTCTCTCGCATCATTGTTGGAGTTTGGACTCTAGACAGCAGAACATAATCCCTCAAAACAATTTTTGCTCTACTAGAAAAAAAATGTAGCATATTGTTATATTCAAAAAGGTGATTTTTAAATTTACTGTGTTGATCGAAAAAAAAAATCGGATGGATTATTTTTGGCGCTAGAGTCTATTTTGGAATAAAATGCGCAATAATCAATTATTAATTAAATTAGGAAGATGATATTGTTATAAATGTCATGTTCCATTAACTGCTCAGCAGGCAGCATTGGTATACTTGGCGCGAAGAATAGGATACAAAAAATCCAGGCTACTATGTATTATAAGTAAGTTGAGAATCCAGAACAACACCCAGATCTTTAACGTGGTTCACACGTTCAGGGCTGTTTTTTTTTCCTCTGTTCGGGACATAACACCACTGCGACCAGTAATTTGATCTATTGTAGTATATCCCGTGTCCTTAGTTTAGTGCATGTCGTTTAACTCCATCACTATTGAGAAATGATGAAGTATTCGGTTTTGATACAGTTGTCATTCTTGCCTTCATCGCACGGAATCGATTCTAACTGAAAGGTTCCGCTATTTATACCCTTCGGAGTTGGAACACTCTCCAAAGGCGCGCCCCTTTGTCAGTCAAAATTGGATTCCTTCACAACAAAAACAAGCTATGACACCGATAATGACCATGCATCAGAACCCTAGTCTTAACCACTTCAAACTAGGGAACAACGATTAGAAGATTAGGAATCACATAGGTGAAGACTAACTAACTCATTTTTTCCTTGTTTCAAGATCATCCTCGGTCCAGGCAACCCGAGGACTTATCACTATCAACAAGGCATAAAAAGTAACAAGGACTAAGATGTGTTCCTTTGATTATTGAAAAATCCTGTTCCCCTAGTTTGAAGAAGTTAGGACTAGGAATCGGTGGTAGATCTTACATCCCGTAACGTACCACGAAAAGGTGATCTACCCACGTTACGGGGCTGTTACAAGATTTTCTAAATATGATCCGCGAAATCCTCGATTTCTCAAAAGAAATCCGCGACTTCAAATACTAATCCGCGACAAAAAAAAAACTGTTTTCATTGACTAAAAATAGCATTTGCATACTACTACATGGCATTTCAAGCTTATTGCTTATAGCATATTAGATTTTTGCTTGCTCTCAACTTTGAAGTACTTTCACATTTTAATTGAGAGCTTCCTATGCCTGTACCATCCTATGCCCTAGAAAGTAAAGAAATTTTCCAACTAGAAAAATTAATAGACTGGACGGGAATCAGTCGCCTCCAGCATGGACTTGCTTTGTAGCTGTGCCTTTACCGACTGAGCTAAAGGAGTATCGTTTGTAACCTTTAAAATTAAAAAAAAATAACATTGTATCATCTTCAGTTATTTATGTATAGTATAAATTCATAGTAATTAATGAACATAATAAAATACCCTTACATTATGAGATTCTATTGAATAATACCGGCCAAGATTTAAAAAATTAATAATTCATTTTCATTTGAAATGCAATTTTTTTTGAAAATTTACCTTTGCGTCTCTGACGTATTTTTCTGTCCTAAATATTGCAGTTAATTTGGCTCTAGTTTTCTCACTTTTTACCGATTCAAACCAAACACCCTGCACATAATCGAGAAATCACCAGAGTTTCATAAGTCACACTTGTTGGTCACGAAATTATAGGTTTTCCAAATCGTCCAGCTGGGATAAAGTCTGTAGTATCGAAATATGTCCAAACAGCTTCATGGTGTCTATACAGATAATGTTAAATTATTTCCACGTATACCAGATGATCTAGGTTCTCCAATTCGTCCAGCAGTTCAGAAGATTGGTTTTACTAAATAAACAAAGACTAGGATAATATCTGTGTTATCGAAATATCGACTTGGAAATCCTAGAACATTTGGCATACACGGAAATAGATTGGCATGATCGACATAGACACTGCAAATTTGTTTGGGCATATTTCGATACTACAGATATTGAATTAGTCTTAGGTGATCTAATAGAAAAATAATCTGATCTCCAGAATGATTTCAGATCATCTTGTATACGTAGCAATAGGTCGGGTACAATCCACATAGACACTTTGAATCTGTTTGGACATATTTCCATACTACAGAAACTATTGGAGTCTTGGTTGATATAGTAGAACAAATCACCTGAACTCCAGGACGATTTGGAGAACCTAGAATATCCGATATACATGCAAAAATTACTCCCATATATACGATTCGTTTATGATTTGACAACGAAAAATACTATGTTCATATTGTAAAAAAAAGGAAAATGTCTCACATTGGATAGACCTCAGGAAATTTCCGTGTAAATCCGGTGTGACTTATGGAATTGAGATCATTTCTCGATTATTTGCAGCGTGTTTGGTTCGAAACGGTTAAAAATTGAGAGCCTAATGAACAAACATGATGACAGCAAATGAATTCCACATTTTTTGTGACAGCACATCAGTCTCTTCGCGATTTTCGCGACATCATTTAATGTTTCCGCGATTTTCGCGACTGAAAGTTCAAATCCGCGACAAATCCGCGAAAATCGCGAGATCCGCGAAATTCGCGAAATCCGCACCTGTTGTAACAGCCCTGCACGTTAGATTATTGTGCAGAAAAAATTTAATAGTCAAATGTCATCTGTTCTTTCTTCCGTGTAATAGTGATTATTGAACACTTTATACACCCAATCGAGGAATGTAAGTTTCTCTTACAGTTTTGTATAAACTATGTGTCGATTCACGACATTACCAGATTCGGTAGTAGTTGTCGAATCGAAAAACTTTTCAAATAATTGTGCTAACTTAATCTTAGCTATGAAGCAAATACAAATTCCATAAATTTATAAAATTATCTTATGAAGATTTTGTACGAAAAAAAATTACTCTTGTAAAAGTTGCTCGTTCACTTCAGAATGTAGTAAGAACTACAATGGCTCAATTTAGATGGTCAAGTTTTGAACCCACCGCAGCATGCTTTTGGCACTACTGTATATGGACAATCATATGTAAAATACTGTTATAGCCATAGCATAAATCTGTCAAAACCTCAGCATTTTGATTGATCCATTGCAGTTTTCCGTAAGAAATTTCTGCATAGGATATAATAAATGCATGCTTACATTTTTTGTATAAGCCATTTGTTTTGCGGTTAATCAACATTCGGTTCAAATTACACCAGCTGGCAAAGACCGAACTGACATTAAAGGAAGTAACAGACATCAATAGAGCGGATCTGCAAATACATTTTAAGATCATCTGCATGCCTTAGTTGTTCTCCTTTGATGACCGAATTCACATTCAACGGTCCAGGTGACTTCACCTGTCGATCAATGAGACAAGAACGAAATCATCACAAGCGGTTGCCGCTAACCTCAAGTATATGTAACTTGGCAATCACGATGGTATGGTTTAGCTTATGGTTTACTACTGACAAGTCGGTGTATATGACGTCTGTTCGAGCACTTTCTGTCACGCTTTCCGTGATGTACTATGCCAGGCACATGGATTAGAGATAATAGAACTACCATAATTGAAGCTGTGTTGGTCAGATCACCACTTAGATAGTAATACCAACCGGAGGAAACTAACGGTTTTAAATTAGCTCACTACGTGACTAGTCTATTGGTCTCAGTACATCATATAAGTGTACCCCATTCTAGTCGAAATTCTAGTTCTACACTATTAGCGTATTCGTTTATTATTCAGTTCCAACCTGGATCGGGTATCAAGATTTGGTCTACCTGTCAGTTTGCTCGTTTGTTTTTAAAACCTAGCTCAGGTTGAGGTTCGCACTGACAAAAATTGCGGGTTTGCACTGGGTTGGAACTGGTTCCAACCCCGATAATAAACGAATTAGCTATATGTTTGTTTTGATTCGCTATGAAAGTTTGACAGATAAAATGAGAGGTTCGTGGATTTTCCTATGTTTCGAGGGGTGCATCGATTAGCTTGGGACCGAAGAGAGTACCCGAGCTGAGCCAGAAAGTTGAGCACGTTTCTTCGGGACCTGCTGGTCTTAGAGTTACATCTATGGTAATACCAGTGCCAGGGACAGGTTAGGGACTTCGTTAATAATAAAAAAACGAACCCTGCTGCAAAACCAACCCTCTTACCAAACATCCCAGTGATTCCTCGTGGAAGTGCAGAGTATCGTCTATTGGTTCTCTATGTAATTACAGCTGATTTGGCAATAAAAGAGTAGCAACTGTGGGCGGTCAATCATGCTCATGCTCAAAACATGTTGCTTCATTATGTTTCCGTCCTTCACTTTTGACGAGATTAACTAAACGGGACCTGGACAACATGTATTGAACATGTACTACTATTCACATGTAAGGCTGCGTGATCCCTGCCGCTGTGCCACAGGGTAAATGCACATTGCGTACATTACGAATTCCAAGACCGTAAGTAAGCGTAGAGAAATTGTTCGACGTTATTTGCTTACGTGGGAGGCAGTCCCCGAACAGAAACAAAAACTTACCGATGGATTATGCAACGACGTGTTTAGCATAATGATTGCAAAACTAAGCACATAGCATGTATCAGTGTTGGTAAAGATGTCCGGATTGAGCTGGCAGTAACGCTGTGCAAAGCATTCCATCATGCGGTCAATCTTCTGTGCTTCACCGGGTAGCCTGAATGACCATAGAAATTGTCTGCAATACAAGAATGTTGTTTGTCATTAGTAAAATTTCGAAAAGTTATAACGCTAGTACAAGTACTTGCCTTAATGCTTGCACTAGAATTAGGTTGCTAAAGTCATGCAAATCCACAAAGGCCTTTAGCACCTGCTCATTGAAGTCATTTTTCTCGCCCAGATAATCGCCTGAAAAGAAAGGTAATACAAGATTTATTAGGTTTCAATACTCATGAAGGTATACAACAGATCGGTAAAAGGTATGTCACGAAAAATTAATATACCAAAAAGCACATTACACTCATTGGCGTACAAACCAAACGCGAATTCCCAGTGATGGATTTATTTCGTGGCTTAATTTCTGTAACACAACAACATCAGATATCCGAATGGTTTATTGTACATTTCACAAGTGCAAACCACAAACAAATTGAAAAACATGAAATAATTTGTAAAATTTTAATTACTTTTTATCAACCGAGTATTAATTATTTTTGTTTATTGTTGCATCCCACCAAGCCACGAGTGGAATCCCAGTGGAAGTGAATGGCATCGCGGTTATTATTAATTACTCGTTCCACATACTGACTGCATTGGAAATACTTTATCATTTCGATAGTGTCCAGGCTACGACACAACGGCCGTTTATAAATGGGTGATGGTGTACGAAATGCAAGCGAATTGTTGAAAACGGTGTGATGATAGCTGCACTTGCATCGGTTTAATTTATTCATCTCCACTACACCGGTCGCGGTCGGTTTCGTGCATTTGCAGAGAGGGCTAATAATATTCATCAGTCGGGAGGCGATTGCAACAGCCCCAGTCGAATGCACCTGATAAATGCACTCCAGGAATATAAAAACGCGGCCACTCGTTACTTCATATTATTTGATGGGACAGAAGAACCCATCAATTTCAAAGAAATATTTAATATGACTCGATATTTCTGAAACTAGGTTTACTTTCTCAACATTTTTATTAAAAGGTGGAAACATAATGAACCGACTGTAAATCATCAAGATTTACTAAGCTGGTATTATTATTATTATTTAACTTTATTAATGAGGCTTTCCTCCTAAGCTGGTAGTGGCAATACATCGGACTAATATTCACTTTATATTAACTAGTTTACGTTGCAGTGTATATTAAATCCAATGTCAATGTGGGTCATTGATAATATTCAATATGGAAAAATCAGCAAAATAGCTTTTCAGTGCGGATCGTGCTCTCTTACCGTGCTTTTTTGCTTATTTGCTTTTTGCTGAAGGAAGTGTTACTGCTACCTAAAGCTACAACAAATTTAAACAGCACTTTTCAGCTCAATATACCTGTAAATTTTCTACCTTTTTCGACTCTTATTCCTAATTGGTCCTTGTTTGGATCCTACCCGAGGTAATCCTGCTTGGATATCGATTTGGAAAATTCCTCAACGATCCTTCAGATTCTTATAGTAATCTGCTTGGAAGTCGATTTGGATAAACGCTTTACTGCCGCCATGGCGCCTAAGCGCAAAAAGGGCAATCTCTTGATCCCCCTTCTGCTAATTTGAGCAATCAATTTGATTTGCTCACGGATGATGAGAATGATCCATCATTCAGAAAAAAATCTAGTAAACTTTCCCGGCTTAATGCCAAGAAAGAAAAGATTCTCTTTATTGAGATAACACCTTCCATGCTCTACGCACGAAACTTTTGAACTTCGTGAAATTTAAGTTTTCACTACAAATTGGCAGTGGTTTGAAAGTCCATTCGACGCTCTTAATTAATAGCACCGTGTAGAGTGGATTAAGAGTAATGACGTCTTCAGCAAAGTATGTTATGATCAGGGTGGCCAACAAACCGGGAATACCGGGAAATATCCGGAAATTCGAAAAGTAACCGGGAAAACCGGGAAAAAACAGGGAATTCGACGAGAGAACCGGGAAAAATAAATTAACCATACCATAGGAACAAATTTTTACACAAGAATTTTAGAATAAACCATTAAAATAGAGTGATCCTTTACCAAATAAATGTCTTGCTCTATTTGCTGCATAATTTTCTTCAGTTTCCCGTCTTAGTTTTTTAGAATTTAATCACTCAGCAATATTGCAAATGGATTTTTGTCATTTCAATTACAGATGTAAAGTGCATGGTCCTTAAAAGAAAATATTGAAGATGCTGGACTTTGGAAACAAAAATTTGTAAAAACCGAAACTGAATTATTCTTTTCCGAGGTTTTAATTTTTCGTTGCTCAAAATTCTCATGATATGAATTCCAGAATTAAGTTGGAATTCTGCTCTGAATTATCTTGAAATTGTTTTAAAATAAACCAGAAACACTCCGCGTAATAATTATAGTTGAATTCTTTTTGGAATTTCCTTGCAACCCCTTCTAAGAATTTAATTGGAATTCTTCTTAGAATTCCCTTGAGCCAATCCGGAGACTTTGATTCCTTTGAAAATCTTTCCAAAAATTTATTTTAATCTTTCGAAATTTTATTTAGAAACAGAATTTCTTTCTAATTATCAGCAAATTTTTTGCAATCAATTTTGTTGGAGTTCTGTGATGAATCTAGGGTTGAAATTATTGCCAGGACACTCTTAGAACTCAGTTTCTTGTTGAATTCTGATCATAACTATCTTGGAATAGTTCTTAAAATTCATCTGTCATTTTCCTCACGATCCCCATACATATCTCAGAATCACGAAGGAATTTTCCGCAAAGTTTTGTTTTTCACAAATACTTTTTAAATCTTCTTAAATTACATAACAATTTAATTTAAAACTTGCATTCTTCTCCAAATTCATCACACATTTTCTAAGGATTTCATGTCAGAATAATTCTGGAATTCTAAATTTTAAATTTTACAAAAACTCCAGGGTTTGTCCACTAGATTCTATAGATTGTTCTGTAATTTGTTAAATCCTTAAAATGCTTCCAAGTCTCAGAGTGTGACAATTTTTTTTTTTTTTTCAAAACTGTGATCTTTTTTTTTATTGTTTTCTCCAAATCTTGCATTACGAAGATTGTTATTAATCACAAATTTTGGAAAAAAAAAGTTCTAGTTTCAGACTCTACACAAATTTTAAAGCCCCAGAATCTTGGGAATCTTCTTAAATCACTTTTTTGTATCCCTTCAGTAAATTCTTTTCAACACGTTCTTAAAAATGCGTTCAATTTCGTTTTTTTTTGTTGAATATTAACAACCGGGAATTTTTTTAGATTTGAACCGAGAAAACCGGGAAAAACCCGGGAATTTCAAAATGAAAATTCACTGGCCACCCTGTATGATGCATCTTCGGAATTTTGTGATTAATAAATTGTTACAAACAACTTTGCTCAAGGCATGAAAGTCGTATATTTCACCCTAATCGAGATAGAGAGGGTTGTTTGAGGACGGGCCCCCCAAAAACACTTTTTTTTACCTAAACACATATTTTCTTTTATTTTAGGTCTTCAATATTTTCTACAAAGTTGTTTGTCAAACTAAAATACACAACTTTTTCGAACATACTATACCTGCATCATTTGAATACGATGAGTTATTGAGAAATTTTCTTCAATTTTCCACATACTTTGGACTTGTGTATCTTTCATTGATGCAGATAGGTGCATACGTGGTCATCTAAAACTACATTAAAAGAGCTTTGAGATGATGGTAAACTTAGCCGTCCACGACCGTCTGCTGGGGATATGTGCTCAAAGCAAACACCCGTTGATAAGCTGTATGGAAATCATGTTAGTATGGTTGGCATAAACAAACTTCTCCCTCAGAGCATATAAATTGCAAAAACTGTACATTATTTTTTTCAAACGTTTCTCAGACGGCGAAACTGAAGTATCAAAAATCTGTCAAATTCATTAAAAATTCTGAGTCGTTTTTCCACAGTGCTCATCACTGTTTTTTTTTTCTATAAGCATGAAGCAATTGTGAATGCATATGAATGAAAGTAAGATAGAAAAACTGTGCAAGCCAAGCGAAGGAGACAGAGAGAGACTAATTCAGCCAAAGAAACCAGACAGCGACAGTGGAGGAAGCTACGAGAGCAGGACTTTCAAGTAAAATGGTAGCACTTAATTCCTTTTGAATGATTCAAATTATCGAATCAGTACTAGTATTTAGAATGTTGAGACTTTATAACAAATGTCCAACAAAATAATTAATAATTTCAGGAAAATTCGTTACAATCCTCAATTGCAACGAATAATTTCCTTAATACTTAGATAAGAGTTAGTTTTAGTTTTTAGTGTTAAGATGTGAATTGTTATACTGACATGCAGGTTTAGAAAACCTGTTTAAAATAATGAATTGCCAGGGCATGAACAATGTAAAAACACTTAGATATATATCATATCATTTAAGGCTGGTATGTTACTGTAGGTTAAAATTAAATGTAATTTATTTTGAATTTGGAACAAGTAAAGAGTTAAAAAAAGCAAAATAGTCTTTAGATGTGCTGATCGCCGGCACAATAAAAAATAGGGTAAAGTGGCGCAAGATGGGTCACGGGCAGTGCTGCGAAATATTGATCGTACACGGCAATATTGACAAAACAGCTTTCGTCACTCACTCGAGCTAATGATCATCTTCAAGGGAAATCATGTCAATTGACAATTGTGCAGTTTTTGTTTACATCTACATTTCTAACGAAATTATATGAATTTAGCAAAACAAATCCATGGAGCCGTCAAAGTGAATTAGCATTCTAATTTGAACTGCCTAGATAACAATAATGTGAAAAAGATTGCACGAAATTACAATTTTTGTTACCAGGTTAATCTTTATCATTGACGAAAAGCTGAATGAGATTTCGACAAAGGTTTATGTGATAATCAATTCTTCCAATGAAAATGTGAAAAATAATTCGGTCAATATCGCGTGAAAACTTTCAATGACAATTCCCAGTACTACGGGACAAGATGGGGGTTGTATTAAACCTGTTTATTTAGACAAACAAATAAATTAATAAATATACTAAATGGCCCGTCTTGCCCTACTTTACCCTTTTATAATGACCATGATCAAGGTTTGATTAATCATGAAATTTGATATCCTTAAAAGTGGGATTTTAGGTAGTTTCAGGTTCATGTTCCGGCCATGGAGATAAGATAACACTCTACTTACCAATAGCTGTTTTGTTTAGGCCCTCTCCTTTATACAAAAATTGGGCTACATCCTGTGGGTCCGTCTTTAGAAGTTGGTTTTCATATAAAAATTCTATGCCTGTAAAATAAGAATAATAAAAAAAAAATCAATGCGGGTTTAAATATTTATAGCGCTTATTAAGAAAAACAAAACTATTACATTTTTTTCACACTGGTAATGGCAAATTTGCTCGAGAAACACATAATTACTTTCATTTGATCACATAACCATCAAATTGCTCAACAAAATAACATGAACAAAATTTACCCAATGAAATCTATATGACATATATGTGATCAAACAAATTTTATGTGAAATTCTGATAAATATCATTAACCTTTCGGGTCCCAAAGTGAAAATGAAGTCGATATTGTTCTTGTAAAACCATAAATTCTGGATTATTTTTTTACTAACAAAATCATCCGGAGGCAAGTACTCTGTCACTAGGGCAAATAACATTTTTAGCATGGAGCATGCTGTTAGATATTTCTATAAGCTTCCAGGAAAAATATTAAAGAAAAAATCAATCGCTTCTTGGTAAAACGGTTTGTCTACCGATAACAGTTGAAAAACAAAAAAAAAATGAATTATCTATCGAATCCGTCACCATGTGACATGGCCTATGAGAAAGACCTTGCCCACGCAAATCAACAACGCCATCGGGTAGCGGAAGACTTCCCCTATCCGATGATTATGTTGGCTCGCCTACGCCTTGACTTTCTAGAAGTAATTGCTTACAAAAGCTGTTACGCCCTAATTCGAGCTCTATCTAGGAATGCAATAATTTCCGCTACACACGAATTGACTCTAGGATCTACAGTACTTGTTTTAAGAAAATAATATTTGAAGATCATAAATTGTTGTAAAACATATTTAGAATATACTTCAAAAAACTATCAAAAGGAAATGTAAAGGAGACTGGGCTTGAACCAACGATCTTCAGCTCAGTAAGTACAAGCGACCGATATTGGACCACAGCAAACTACTGCAACCGAGGCTCGTTTAATCCTTGCAACATGAAGCTATTCAAATGAAATTACGTCTCCGGAAAGAGTAAACTTTGATTTCGAACCAAAATCGAGAATCATACGTCATATTTACCGAGAATATCACTCTCTTCCGCACGGTTACAACCGAGTTCTATCAATAGCAATGTTCCACGTTCTCTTCTATGCAAAAAAAAACATTTATAATAAACATGTACGGTCGCTACTAGTCCTCCGAGCTCCTTTCATTACAATCAAGCACTACGAATGACGATCGTCCAAACAAGTACTACAATGAGCAAAGTGCCAAGCCCAAACACTGCATTTTATCGGGATCACAACATGCTACTTCCGACACTATGTAGAACGTATAACGAGAGTAAAATCCAGCTAGGGTTTTCCAGTGTTCAACTGTAACGACTATATTATTTCCAAAAACGCACCCATTTATAATTCACATTCGTTATGTATGAAAATTGAGTGTGAAATTGGGCGTGAATTCTTAAATCGTTTTTCACAATTGAAATACTTTAACATATCTTGAGGGACATCAGCTAGCTGAAAATATAAAAACAACTACTTCTTACTTTAATACATATACAAAGAGCTTCCCTTGTTGCAACCCTTTGAAGCTGCCTGGTCGAATATGTGTTCGACCCAATTCAATAGCTTCTGTGTGACATGCACACAGGAAGTACAAGCGCCATTCACCCTCTCCTATTTTTCACATTTGTGTTGTTCAGGGATACAGCATCATCAATGCAATGGACGAAGCAAAGTGAAAAAAGTACCTTCCAGCAAGACAAACAACTAGGACCTACCTAGTGACAAACGAAACCATTTCTATATCCGATGAATCGATCGTCCGGGAATAAGTGCCTGTATATCACGACCGGTACAAGAACCAGCGCTGGAGCAATGGAGATACATTATACGGTGCACCCTTCTTCCCGGGGCATATCTGCAGACGGAATGAACTTTATGCTCATTCATGTCAACATTTTCAATAGGGTTAATTCGATTTTATCGAACGAATGCCTTTAATCAACATGACTTGCCATAGTCGACCAATCGTCCGACCGACCGACTGAACGATGACGACCGAGTAACATACGGTAGACAGAGAAGAGATACGTGTGGATCAAATTGTTTCTGCCTGATCAATTTTCCTCTTCGTGGTTCCGAACCATTAACTTCGCCAAGTACTGTAGGAACCAGTTCAAGTGTTGACAAACATTTATTGCATAGAGAGTAGAAGACTATGAATTCACTAAAAATAAGAAGTAGTATGCGGGACCGTGCAGAATATTAACAAACAATTAGTCTTAATATCATTGAGCATTATGTGTACATATGAGTAGATCCAATTCAACTCCACTGTCTGGCAGTGGCATTATGGAAAACATCTACTTGTAACAATTTGTTATCAAAGTAAAAAAATTGTACCCAGAAGTTAGAAGGTGATAACTTTATTGTAGCAACAATAGCTCATTTCATGAACGAAACACTTTGTCAAGCAGTTTTGGCGTGACTTTCTACCAGCGATATTAAAAAAAATAAGCAACTCTCGAGGAAATATTCAAATCGTAGTAAGTAATTGTTTAAACATGATTCAAGATGTGCAATATTTGTGCCGTATTGCTTAGTTCTGACCGAAAATCGATGTTGAGCCTTTCGAGGAGGTCATTCTATGTGTACGCCTTCGTTGCTATAGTTTTCTTAATGCCATAATTGCGATGAAGTCATTGGTTGTAAATAGCAGTCGTCGTGATCACCAGTACGTAGCCAACCGTCGATCGTCGGTCGAAACTGTGCGAAAAAATTGATTTCTCGGTAAAATATTACGTGTGCTTGATGCGGAACATCATTCCATTTGAATAATTTGTTATGTCACCGGGCATGAAAAATAGTCGTTGGTTATGTAATGTATTGTTATGTAAAAGGCTCCGTTGTCTAGTCCAACCGTTTTTGCTTACTGGGCAACCGCTTGAAAAAGCATTTTAACAGATTAATCATCACCGTAATTTTTTTGCTCTGAACAATAATAAATTATTAAGCACAGCATTATATTTTTTAGAAGGAATGCTGGATTCAGTCACAATAGAAATCATCTGTTTTTTAATCAATCCTTTCTTTAATTTGATTTATTTCTATGGGTATACACTAGAGTGATGCAAAATTTGAAATTTTCGCTCCACAATACTTAAACGATTCCAAATCGGATCCTGAATAACTTCTCAAAATTTGAACCAATTTGGTGAGAAACTGAGATGGCACAAACCATTTGAAGTTTGTATGGGAATTACTATGGTAAAACCAAGATTTTTGTTCATGTCTATCTAATAATTCACCATATCGGTCTGCTTCTAAAGCTTTCCACTCTACTTGTAAGAAATTTTCCCAGCTACAACTTAGCTCAAGACCACTTTTTGATTAAATGCAAGAATCGAAAGTTATCAATGGTTCAATGCGCTGATGTCTTATGATCATGCTCAATCAACTGCTCAGCAGGAAACATTGGTGTTTCTGGGGCGTTGAATAGGACACAAAAATCATGACTACTATGTCACACTGCAAAATACAGTGTTGCCTACAGAGCAGCTGCTTGATCATGTCATAAGTTTACCAATCTCTTAAATATTTAATAACTTTTTCTTGTCTCGTTTTACATAGAAACGATCTTGAGCAAAGTTGTAGCTGAGAAAATTTTCTATAAGAATGGCTGTCGATCTGTTTCGCAGCTCAATATGGAAAAAGACTAGAAGGCAATGAACAAAAAGTTGAGATTTCCCATAGTAATTTACATGTAAACCTCAAATGGCTTGTGCGAAGTCTGTTTCTAACCAAATGAGTTGTAACTTTGGGAGGCTAGTCAGGACCCGATTTGAAACCATTTAAGCACTGTGGAGCGAAAAAGTCAAATTTTGCATCAGTCTAGTATACACGTTTGGAAGGTATCATAGAAAAGATTCTGCACTCGGTCTAGAGCTTTTGGGCGGGAAGCGTTTTTAATTAAATAATAGAGTAAATTCGTAGAAATACGAAGCGAAAAACGAATTAAGCACAAGACCTTCAAGAAAACTAACAACACGATGTCTGGAAATGGCAAGTATTTCAAGAATATCGGGTGAGACCAATCTATTTTTTTTAAACTGATTTTTGTGGAGTAGGATATTCAATTGAACCGCTTCGGGTTATTATAATGGTATATGGACGAGGGTTTAAAAATTATCGGTTTGATTATTTATTCTTTTTACACATTGTTTTTACGCGGTTCAACGAATTTATTATTATTATTTTACTTTGATAGCTTAATATTATCATTAATATTATTAGGTTATATTGACACTTGGTTTGTTATTCCCCCTCTACTAAAATCTTTTTATTTGTTTTGGTTTCGTTGCCTTAACAACAATAACATATTATGTTATTTGTGAGAGGAAATGATTCTATCAATTTCAGGATAAATCAACTATGGATATTATTCGAAAGAATCTAGGCGAGGCGCTAAGAGAAGTATGATCAGTTTTAAATAAGTATGCATTACTGCATCTTTATATAATTCTTAAATTTGATTCAAAGCAGAGCAGAACTCTCAGTAATGAATTCATATAAAATTAAATAACTCATTCAAGTTTCAAATTATTTCCAGCTTACACATTTTTTTATGATTTTGTAGCATCGTGGCCAACTCAATCCAAAAAACTTCCAACCACCTGCCTCCATCTAATCATTATCCCTTCCCCATAATGTAGCCTGCATATGGCGCGTCAGCCATTACCCTTCCTTTAATATCGGCATTGGATTAAGTTTCACCTTGATAAATATGCATAGTTTTAGAAATTTTTTATTTTTATTTCATTTTGCAGCACAGGGTAGGGCAGTAAGAGCGCAACTGCCCTACCCTGTGCTGCAAAATGAAATGAAAATAAAAAATTTATAAAAAACAATTAATTATGCCAAAACTATGACCGCATTATTTATCAAGATGAAACTTGAGTCAACGAACCCAACCTGATAACAAAATCGCGATGGATAGGCATGTAAGTAGATCTCATGTTAAGAAATAATGTAAGATGGTGGAAATACATATACCATTAGATTTTGGTTTAGCTCCTTACTACAAAATTTATACTGATTTAAATTTATTTTTTGCCTGCCCTAATTCCACACTTATTTAATACCGTGGGTTTGACAATAAACATCAATATTTTGCCACGGTTATGGGGCATGTCACGGTACACGAAGAAACAAATTTTTACTGTAGAAGTATCTATATAGGGGAAAGTGGGGCAATATGGCCAAGGGGGTAATGTGGCTACTTACTTAAAAATCAACTTATTAAACATATTTTACAAAAAAAAAAATCTGTTGCAGCCTTAATGCTTTAAGCCTACCTCAACTATCGATTTAATTTAAGTCTAACAAAATACTTTTCTCTAGAGTAAATATTCGAAAAATGTTAGACTAGTTCAAAATGTCAAAACTGTTATAAGATTTCTGAATCATAAAATAAGGTCTATCAGCAGTTTCATTTCATTTTCATTTTCATTTTCAAGCACAGAAGGGGGTCATAGGGCCATACTGCACCAGGGTAGAGGTATAGATTTGGAATCACAAAATAATAACCACAGGGGTCAAATGAATCCTGTTTATGATACCGGATAGTAAGGAAAGCTGTTGAACATAGGGGATAGTCAGAGTAACAGCAATAATAGTGAAAGTTAGGAAAATAAGCAGGTAGAGATGGTTGATTTGCAATGGCTATCGACTCTGTTATATGGCCTACCGTATCAGATTCAAATTTAATGTCGTTTAATATTGCGCTTATTACTTTTATCTTTATTCTAAGCAATCTCCTTTCATACTTGTTTGTTTTAAAGTGAACTGGATGAAATGATTGTTTTATCAAAATTATGTTAAAGTTAACTACTATTCATATTTGCTAATTAATACCTAAATGTAATTTTTAATTTTATGAAGATAAGTTGCTCAGAATAGCAGCCTGTAATTCCGTACCAGAATCCGCCTCCAATTTAATGTCTTTTGTGGATTCGTAGTAGCAAAGTTGTGCTAAAAGCTAAATAGTTACCTAAAAATACTACCTAAATCGTTCACAATCAGAGCCGGGCCACTGATGAAAACCAAAACTACAACCCTGAAAAAACGAATCGATATTTTCGAAGGCGAACACAACCTATTCTTGCTAGTGATTCTGTCCAATTGTTAGGTATCCAAATTATAGTCATTCGTAAATTTATTATTGAATATATGGATGAATTATCTATTATTGAATAACTATTATTTACGATAATTACATGAAAGAAATAACATATAAACTACAAACAAAACGTGACTACTAAAATCTCAAAAAGATATTCTCACAAGTATATTTCACGCAACCAGGAATCTCAAAACCATTAGACGCTATAATGATACTCTGCACATGTTAGACACAAGAAAAGGCCAAAAAGCAAGCGTCCGACACACAAAACCCGCCAAATCCACTGGCAGTCACAATCAACTATTTTACGAATCGCGAGCGCTCACGAATCATAAAACCGCTGACTGCGACACTCTGAAAGCGAAATTGACAGGCTCTATGCGTCAAACACCCGCCCTCCAATCTCCTCCCGCATCCAACAACACAAACCCCCACTACAACATCTAACGAATTCAAAACTCCGAAAATCACTCATCTATAGAAAGTGAGTGGAAGCAACCCTGCATGCAACTATTCTTCATGATACGCTTTGTCTGTCTATCTTTCTATTAAGCCTGTGGACATGTGTTAGCTTCGAAACTTCTAACCAAACTAGAAAAATTTTGAAATCAAAAAAAAAAAAAAAAATTCAAAGGTAATTACAAGCAAAATACATATTGATTATTTTACGCAAAACCGAGCAAGTAATATTGAATCTCTTGTATTGTATGCTAATGCTAATTGACTGTAACAAAAATAATATGCTTAAATAAAATAAAATATTAATAAAATGATATGCAAAATTTACTAGAAGGTCATTACTTTATTGGTGAGAAGTTTCTAATAAGCCCTCCCAGTTCCTCTGTATACAGAACAAATCTGATACTATAATCAGAATTGCTCAGTCTGCATGAAGCAGCCGATTGCATCAAGGAAGTTCTACAACCAAGAATTAATCGTTTGAGGCATACTGAAGCATTAAGAAGGTGATATGTGTCACTATGGGAAATCATCATCGTTGCAAACAGTCTTGTAAGCGGTCACGGTAGTCGACACATTTTCTGTGATAATTGACTTCCTTTGCCTCCGACACTTGCAAAACTTGCTATCATAGTACAGTACCAAACTAAAATGTCATATGATAGGCTCTGTCATACGACACTGTCGCCGAAGACCGTCACGAATGTATGTATTTTAGTTTTTCTCATAATAAGAGCTGCTGATGTTGTTCTTGTGTGAATTCTGAAAATAGCAACCGATGATGCCCTAGTAATAACATTTCTGATCAGAAATGGTTTAATTTATACCAAATTGAGGAATTAGAGCGAAATCACACATGTCATATGATAGTTATTTGATAATTTTCTTTTTGCTCGAATGTTATTCTATCGCTCGTGTTGTGTGAGAGAGGCGACGGTAGAGCATGAGTGTTCGAATACAAACAGACTGTCGCGCACGACAACGAAGCGAGTGTAGTAAAAAACGTCAACTGTTTCAACCCCTGGTTGCAAATATAAAGAAATTAAACATAACCCTTTGCTTCAGTACCGTCAACCTCCATGTCCATGGGGAGGGAATAAGGTCTATCAGCAGTTTCTTATAACTTATCGTTGATATTCCTTCAGCAGCTTTATAAACGATCATTGGTTTCTTATATGACACGATGATATTTTCTAGTTTTTAATAAACATTAAAGATTTTCTTAACAAAATATTACTTGGGGAAGCTTACCATCCCGAAAATAAAAAAAATATTTTCGCCACGTTATGTTTTTAAAAAAAATTGGGAATTTTTTTCAAATATCCAAGCAAATCGGTCTCTTCCTTAGATTATTGACAACAATTGCATGTAAAAATATTTTTTCTATCTCATCATGAAAAAAATTGGACTCTCAGCAAAACCGAAAAGTCGATGTTTTTGGTTTTTTGAGTCCAACTTTATGCCATGAAGACTAACAAAAAATTGAATTTTCTTAAGAAAATTAGAAATTTTAATTAGATTTTTTATATCTAATATTTTTAGAAAAATCGAAACGTAGCGGTAAACTTCCCCTTAAGTTCATTCGGGGCAATATGAGCACCACTTATATTTCAACTTAAATTATTCAATTTTGCATTATTCCTTTCATAAATATAACTGTATCGTATGAAAAAACGTTCTTAAGGGGAAACTCACCGGCCCAAAAATAAAAAAAAATATTTTCGGTACGTTTTTATTTTTCTAAAAATATTGGGAAAAATTATCAAAAATCCAAGAAAATCAGTTTCTTCCTTAGATTTTTGTCAAAAATTACATGCAAAAAAAAAATTTTCTATCCCATCATGAAAAAAAAATTGGACTCTCAGAAAAACCGAAAAGTTGATGTTTTGTGGTTTTTTGAGTCCAGCTTTATGCCATAATGACTTATAAAACATGTTTTTGCACGTGAATTTTCTTTAAAAAATTAGAAAAAAATGTGATTTTTTTAGATTTTTGATACTTTTTTTCAATATTTTTAGAAAAATCAAAACGTAATTTTTTTTTCGGAGCGGTCTGCTTCCCCTTAAGCAGCTGCTTTGGTAAAAAAATCAGTCATTAACAAAACTGAAAAAGCCCGAAATAGGCAGTACCGTAAAACGGGGTATCTTTGATAATGCGGGTAGCTTTGATGTAGAATATAATGATTAAATTTGCACTCTGCACTATTTCCCAATTGGACACATTAGTTCCATTTTGTAGCTTAGGGTATTACCTTTGATATCGTAATGAGTTTTTTGTAGTATGTTTTACATATTTTTCTTGTATTGTTTTATTGCCTATGATGTTTCTGATTATATACTCATTCAAAGTTTCTTATTTCTTGACCAACATTGTTTGCGATTCTCGCATGGTTTTCTACATTCATCTAGTATTATCAAAGTACCGTAAAACGGGGTATCTTTGATAATGCGGGTAACTTTGATAGTATAATATAAAGAATAAATTTACTAGTTGTGCTTTTTCCAAATAAGAAACATTGGTTCCATATTGTAGCTTAGGGTATTTCCGTTGATATCGTATATATATTTTATATAGTATGTGCTACAAATTTTACAAAAATATCAAAAAAACCATTTTCGTGTTTTTCGCCTTTTTGAAAATGCACTCAAACGATACAGCCATCACAAATTCAATGTTGTATTCTTATTGCTTATGAAGTTTTCTGATTATGTACTCATTCAAAGTTTCATATTTAATGAACTAAATTGTTTGAGTTTCACTAATTTTTTTTTCTACATTCATCGAGCATTATCAAAGTAACCCCAAATCAAAATACTGAAGTTCGGTCACAAAACCAAAAAACTAGTGCAAATGCTTTAATTTTCGTTCAACATATTACTAACGAATTAACTCTTGGATCCTCAGTACTTGTTTTTAAAATATAAAATTTGAAAAACATTCATTGCTGTAAAAAATATTAAGAAAATACTTTAAAAAACTATTAATGTTACCCCGTTAAACGATAACCCTAAAACAAAAATCTGATGTTCGCTCACAAGACAATTAAAATAGTGCAAATCTTCTTTCATAAGATTCAAAAGTTTACTTTTAATATTCAATTTGTATTCATGATGTAAGTAGGGCTTGAAACTATCCATTTGGTTAAACATCATTCAAACTTCCCACTGAATTTTGTATGATTAGTGATGATTTTCTTAAGGTGGCCAAATTGCCCCACTTTCCCCTACAACATTAACTTATCATTCATGATTAAATTGTCAAATTGCTTTGAAGTTGATTATACCCCGTCTAGTCCAAATGTGAGAATTACTTGAGCCCATGTTGATCACAATCAGTCAATTAAACAAATGGGGTTCATTGCATACCTTTCTTTGGATCCATGTTGAACTTCTTACGTCCTAATGCCATCTGCTTATCTTTATTGGAATGTTTATTCTCTTCCTTGTTCTCGTGTGCTCTCATCTCCGACTCTACTTCATTCAGTTCATCGTTAATTTGCTGTTGAGAAAAAATAAGAACAAAAAGAAAGCCACAAATTGGGGCAAACATTAGTAGCTAATTGAATATGTTCGCATGGCGGATGCTGGAAAACGGAAGTGTTATTGACTGAAGTCATTCCTTTTCTAATTTACCTTCTTACGATGAGGCGAGCTAACACTCCTCTTGTAGACTAGATTAGATTTGTTTTTGCAGTTATTACATTTCCTAAGGACTTTTGGCGTTGAGCTGGCCGAATTGGCATGAATGGCAACATTGTTGCCCGAGTAATTACGGTTGAATAAGTCAGCACTATCGTCGATATAGTCGAAATTGCTGTCGTCCAGAATGCTAAACTGTCGCTGACACTTTGAATCCTTTCGGCAGTTGTTATTGACTTCTTCCTTAATAATGCTGTTATTCCCACTATCACTTTCGCTAGAAATAAGTTGAGCTTGCTTGCTTTCCTCGAATAGTTGTCGTAGGTCAAGAGTGCTATTCAACAATTCTCCGCTGTCGCTAAAGATTAAACCCACGCGGTAGGTTTTCTGTTTGTTCACAACCGTCGTTTTTGTCACAGTGGTTACCGTGGTTGAGGTATAAAGTTGTTCTTTCCGCTTCGGTCTTCTCCGGAGACTACTGGTGTTATTCACCGCTGACAAGGCGATATCCTTGAGATCGTTAGCGCTATCACTTGTGAGATTATCTACCGAAGAAGCGGTTGGCAGAGGCTGATAGTTATTCTCCCTTAGACTCCTCGACACTGTTGTGCTAATTGTGGCCGTTGTGGCTGAGGTAAGACTTGTGGAAGATTCAGGAGAATTGGACGTAAACGATGGCGACGGACTTACTTTCACCCACTCACATGTACAAATTGATCTTTCAGTGGCGGGATTACACAACGGTTCATCCGTTGCACTGTCATCGACCGCTTCTGGCAACTGACTAGAGTTGTTACCGCTATACAAATTACTGGACGTCAGATCCACACAGCTCTTTTGCGTCAACTGCTCAGCGTCCAGCGCTGTCTTTTTGCCCTTTGGTTGACGCCGGAGTGACGAGAACCAGTTAGTCTTCTTAGCATCCACAGCCGATGAAAAGAACATTTTCAGGCTTCTGTTTGCTCTTTTGTTAAATTAATTACCACACTTGAAACAACACACAACAAAACGAATATTTGTTTATTTTTGGGATCTTTATACACTTTATATCACAATAAACTCGATCACATTGCGTGGATTTACGATCTCTTCACATTTCGATATACTGGTACTGTGCTATTTCTGGCTCACGACTGTCGAATACCGCACTTCGATGGGAATCTTCATCGTTTAAATTCTCCTGGGACTCTTCCTCTGTCCTTCCGTAATCGTTCATTTGGTTCGATTAATACAGTTTTTCACCCGAGCACATAACGGATCCGCTGAAAACAAAAACTTCCACAACGTTGCTTGTTTATTTACGCCAGAAGTATTTATTGATACATTGTTTCAATTGTCAGCAGCTGATCGATGAATTAAATCAAATCACGTTTCCGGAATCAAAAATAAAAAATTCACGGTCAAAGGCATCATAACACAAATGCAACCAAAAGTAACACTTGCGAATCCCAAGTGCATTTTATGGATACTAAACTATTGCATGAACTCATGCAAGGCAGAGCGTACCTTCGCGATAGGATCGCGCATTCCGTGTCCGAACATCCTTGGAAATCAGTGAAAACTGTACACGGATATTTCCTGAACCTGTCTCGCTTGTTTGCACACCTACAACACCCGTGAATCCTTAATTCACCATGGCAACATTTAACAGCACAGCAATCTAGCGGTAACGGCTGTTATGTTCCGGGTCGGTAGAAAGAGACGATAAAGGGGTTTAAATTTAATAAAAATCGAGACAAGCTGCATTGATTTGATGGTGTGCAATTGCAGGAAATTGTTCCGCATTTAGAGGTCACGTGAACGATGGGAAATTGTTCCATTAATTGGAAAGCAAATGCATTTGATTTTGCAAGCGATTATTATGAATTAGCGTGTGTTTACACAGCAAGTGACGCTGTTGAAATCAGAAGGTTGGTCCTTCAAATGGGATAATGCAAAATTATCGGAAAAAAATGTATAGGGGAAATGTATGTAATGTCAGCCTAAGTGTCCCTAATTTAGGCCCATACATAAATTCAGCAATCGACTAAATTTTCAATAGCAACCAAAAATATCCATAACTACCGTCCCAATGACGCGTTCATCTAGATACAATTGATAAATAACAGATTTTTAGCTATCTTAGATCCATAGGCTAACATTAGAGCCATTTCTCCTATATGGTCTAATGCTACGCCTAATGCAGCTATAACAAACAAGATCTAATGAATAGAGATCAATAACATATCTAAAGCTCGTTGAACTTTGTTGGGGAGAAATCAAAATCACGAGGTTATATACTTTTGTCCAGTTGCTTAAAGTAATTGTTTATATTTGGTACCTAGGGGTTTTTTCACATGCTGCTCTAGAATAGAATACAGACAGCAAGCATCCGACTTAGTCAACACACAGGCATATTTGAACTTTGTACGCTGATGGTCATTTCCCATGTAAAATCGTGCGCTGAATCCAAAAATGTTGTCAGAAAAAATCTTAGTAGGATAGTTTTCTAGATACAGCTAAAAAAGGAGATTTCATCATATAAAAGTTTGTTTACTAAAATACAAATATCTCCGGCTGTAATGAAGTTATATCAATTATTTTAATGCCAAATTAAAACTGCAATTTAATTTGCTTTCGATCAACTGGATACTATTTTTCAGTTAGATTAGTGGTATTTTTTAGCTGTATCTAGAAAACTATTCTGCTGAGATTTGGCAAACTTTAGTAAAAACCTACCCCATATTACTTTTCACACATTTTTTGGGGTTAAGAGAAACTAGTCTCGGCATGCAAGATGTGTATGTATGTGTGTTGAATTTTTTTTATAAATTACTGGAAATAATAAAAGATTCATGATATACAAAAAAGAGAACGTTTCTATCTTTGCTCGTTAGTTACGATTTTCTGGAAATATGATTGTGAAATTTGTGAAAATAAAAAAAAACTGATTTTATTGAATCTGAAATATAAAAACATTTAATAATTACCTAATTTGCTTCGTGATCAAGTTTATAATTCAATTCAAAGCTTTATCTAGTATTGTTTCTATTTTTATCCTAGATGGTGCTTCTCGTTATCAATATTAAGATCAAACTCATTTTTAGCTAATTCGAAATGCTTTAGGGTGCTAAAATTTCAATGTCATTTTATGATGTACAAGGGGGTCAGGGGTCATTACACCGATGTGAATATTCACACCGTCCATAATACACCAGGGAAGGGGAGAGGAGTGAGCAACACAACATCTTTACCCATGGGGGTTAAAAAAGTTCTGCGAGGTACACTTGTGGTAAACCAGCTGCTCAGGGATTGTAGAAAGGAAAAGGTTTGGGTAGGTTTTATGTGAAAAGCGCATAAGTTAGTATTGTATCGTTGAACAATGGCCTCGTTTTGTCATCACACCGTCAATGAAAAAGGAGTTAAAAGATATTGAAAGAGATTGTTAGTTGCGTTTGTAATGGAGTAATTCGTAGGTTGCATACTGGAAACTGTCATACTTCTACTTTAACTTTCTTATTCTAATTGCTTAAGGAAAACTATTTGGGAATGAATAGCTCTCCAATCAGAATTCAGAATAGGAAAAACATGACAATAAATTACCATTGCCGGCCACGCCTATCTTCTCTGTTATCGGGAAAGGAAGGATATTGTTGATGTAACATCTAATTAACGGAAGGCCAGCGACTCACCGACGCCCCCGTAGATGCTACGGAGTTGGAATTGTTTTGTTTTGGAGGAGCTTGGGAATAAACCCACGATCTTCTACTCAGTAAGCAAAAGTGGTAGCGGTCAAGCTAGCCGAGCTCCTCAATTTTAATTCCAATCCTGTTTAAAATAAAATGTAAACAAACAAAAAGGAAAGATCTTACCCGAATGATCGAATTTACTCCTATATATAGCTGAATTATCTATAATTGAATAACTATTATTTAAGATAATTAATGGAAAACATAACATAAAATATTGACTGCAGACAAAACGTGACTACACCAAAGAAACATTGCAAGTTTTATTGAGGTTTTAAAGCATTCTACAAGTCTTAATAATGGTCTCAACAAGATATTCTCACAAAAGTATTTCACACAGCTATTCTTCAGGATACACTTTTTTCTACCTATATTTCTTTTAGCTTCGAAACTTCTAACCAAACTGGGAAATCTAACAGATCACAAAAAAAAAACAAAACCAAAACTTTAAACGTTTCAAAATAAACTGAAAGCTAACAAGTGAAAAGAAAAAAAAAAGAAATTTTACGCGAAACAAAAATTGAATCTCTTGAATCGTATGCTAATTGACTGTAACAAAAATGATACGCAAAAATAAAATAAAATTTTAATAAAATGTTATGTGTAATTTGTACTAGAATATCAGTTCCTCTGTTTACCGAAAAAATCTGATACTATAAACACAATTGCTCAGTCTGTATGGAGCAGCTGATTCCATCATGGAAGTTCAATTAACAACCAAGAATTAATCGTTTGAGGCATACTGAAGCATTATGAAGGTGATATGTTTCACTATGAGAAATCATCATAGTTGCAGATATAAAGAGACTAAACATAGCCTTTTGCTTCAGTACCGTCAACCTCCATGTCCCTGGGGAGGGTCGAAATGCTTTAGGGTGTTTAACAAAGAAAAAATAATTTAAGATTAGCTTACACTAAATTTCAATACTTAAGAAGCTTTTTCGGAAATGGCTATGAAAAAAGGGCTTTTTTTCAAAAACCTCATCGGTGCTACTTCTAAATCACGTTTTTCAGAATTTCCATACCACAAAAGTTTTTTTGTAACACACTTAGCTACCAACTGGAGGGTGAGCCTCCAACGTTTATGGAAAAGTGTTATTTTGTACCATCCTAACCGAGGATCCGTTTAAGCAAAAAAAAAATAGATTATTTTCACCGACAACATATTTTATAAACTACACAGACTATGAAACTAGAAGTCCCAAACTATGATCGTACGAAATACAATTTAAAATAATTAAATAATTTTGAATACGATGTAAGATCTACCACCGGAACCTAGTCCTGACTACTTCAAACTAGGGGAATAGGATTTTGCAATGTTCCTTTCATTAGCCTTTATCATCTTTTATGCCTTGTTAATAGTGACAAGATTCGAGTTGCTCCACTGAGGATGATCTTGAAACAAGGCAAAAATGGATTAGTCTTCTATGTGATTCTTAATCTTAAATTCGTTGTTCTCTAGTTGGAAGTGGTTAGGGCTAGGGTTCTGATGCATGGTCAATATCGGTGTAATTGATTGATTCAGTGCTACCACGCGTAAAACAAAACCTACATACATGTACTGGATCTCATCTTCAAACCAGAAAGTCATATTGCTGGTAACCCTATCTTTCTTAAAATGAGTTCAGCCTCGCGAAAAAGAATAAATGTTCTACGCAAAATAATTCCTACCTGTAGTCAAATTAAACACGCGAGTCAATCGGTTTGTTTCTTCATAAAAAAGAGACTAGTAGTTTAAGCCCCAACGGAAAAAAGTTCACTGTCAAAGTCAAAGCAGCGAAAGTTGCTGCGTGTCCTGATCCCGACATGCTTCCTTATTTGCACACCCCGAAAACAAACGACCCTTAAAATAGAACGGCTGCAACGAAGCGTTAAATAAGCCTATAGAGCATTTCTAGCTCAAATCGTTAAAAAAAATGTCAATTTTGTCTCGACCCCTTCTGATTTGAATGAAACATTGCTCACGTGTTCGCTGCTACTAATGGTTGCATTTTTCATTTAAATATGATTTTTTCCTCCAGAGTAACTTATGAAAAGGGCGTATAAAAAAATGGATTATTTTTTTTCCAAAAAATCATAACTTGAAAACTATTGATCTGATCAAAACGGCATATGAGAAGAAGTTTTAGGTAATTAAATTATCTTTGCGGAAAAAATACACTGAAAGAAAAAACTTCGTAAATTAGTATTTAAAAAACGTACAACGATGATTATCTCAAAACACCCCCCCTTCGATCTTTATAATTTTTTTTTTCAAGAAAATTGATGGAATACCCTTAAATTGTATGAAAAGTGTATGCTGGTAACTTTCTTAAAAAGAAAGCTATAATTTTTTAAATTTTTGTTGATTTTTACAAGTTGATGAAAATGCATATTTTTTTATAAAATAATAATTTATTTGGATTTTACGCATAATTTTCAATAACTTTGCATATATAAATTTTTTTCCTAAGTCCAGCCGTTCACAAGTTAATGCGAATTAAAAAAATATAATTATAACAATTTTCAACATATTAGGCCATTTTCAAATG